CTAGACCTAGATCTGCCTCCATCTAGACCTAGATCTGCCTCCATCTAGACCTAGATCTGCCTCCATCTAGACCTAGATCTGCCTCCATCTAGACCTAGATCTGCCTCCATCTAGACCTAGATCTGCCTCCATCTAGACCTATATCTGCCTCCATCTAGACCTAGATCTGCCTCCATCTAGACCTAGATCCGCCTTTGAGCCGTTTACCTCTGAGGTTTTGCTGGTGCACCCCTCTTCACTCCTCTCTCTGTCATAATTTAATGTTCTTTATAAGTGCCCTGCCCTTTTTTAGTTTTTTTTAGTTCTGCTACTAGCGCGGGAAACTGATATAGTGTGTACACTTCTCGGTTGGTTCGTATTCTACATCTATAATCACCCTTTGTTGGTCCGTATATTTTCCAGAGAACTTTTCTCTTCCATGTGTTTAATGTGTTTTCTGCCTTTGTTGTCAGGGTCCAAGTCTTACTTGCCGTATGTTACGACTCTGCCTTTGTTGTCAGGGTCCAAGGCTTACATTGCCGTATGTTACGACTCTGCCTTTGTTGTCAGGGTCCAAGTCTTACTTGCCGTATGTTACGACTCTGCCTTTGTTGTCAGGGTCCAAGTCTTACTTGCCGTATGTTACGACTCTGCCTTTGTTGTCAGGGTCCAAGTCTTACTTGTCGTATGTTACGACTCTGCCTTTGTTGTCAGGGTCCAAGTCTTACTTGCCGTATGTTACGACTCTGCCTTTGTTGTCAGGGTCCAAGTCTTACTTGCCGTATGTTACGACTCTGCCTTTGTTGTCAGGGTCCAAGTCTTACTTGCCGTATGTTACGACTCTGCCTTTGTTGCTAGGGTCCAAGTCTTACTTGCCGTATGTTACGACTGGTCTGATTGCAGTTTTAGAGAGAGTTTTCTTTTAAATATTTTCTGACTACTGAAGTTTCTGGTCGATTTTTTTTCTTTTGTTTCTGTTAGTAAGTCATTTATTGAGGATCTTAGATATTTCAAATGATTAATTTTTTCAAAAGTATGGTTTCTAATTTTAATGATTTCATCTATCTGTTCTTCTCTTGTATTGTTATGTTTATGTTGTTGTTTTTTAAACGCCCAGTCCTGCTTGTAACGTCCTCTAATTCAATAAAAGCTTTTGATATGTCTTCACTACGCTTCCCTACCTGTGCTATGTCATCGTTGTATGCGAGATACTGAAGGGGTTGGCTGTAGAGCGTTGCTATTGGTTGTGGGTCTTGGGTTTTCCTTAGAAAATATCCCGTGACTGTTCCTCGGGTGTCAATATGTCTGCTTCTTGTAACTCTCTCTAATGTTAGGTTAAATAACATACAAGACAGTGAGTCTGCTTGTCTTAGGCCCCTGCCTAATCTGAAACTGCCTTGAATATTCACCCTGATCCTTTATATTACATTTTTAAAGTTGTTTAATGTTATAATTATCTGTTCCGGACCGTTATATGTTTGTTGTTTTGTTTTTTTTAAATAGAATCTATTTTAAGTTCTGTCCCGTTAATGAACAATGCGTAACAAAGAACTGAATTTAAAAAAAAATACATATTTAAAGAAAAACGAAAGTAGAGCAAGCGTTAACAACAATGGTCAATTTCATTATACTACATTATAGATCTACATATACAAAATCAAGAAGACACAAATAAAAACTAGATCAAATTACAGCACAACAAGTACAAAAACAATATTACAATAAAAACAATATTACAATACTGACACATACACACATGAAGAGCACGATCTTGTTAGTATATTTGTCCATGCTGTCGTTATTTCATAAATGTATTTGATTTTAATGGCATGATTATGTCTTTTTTTGATAATATTTTTATGTACAGCGCGGGGAGCCCAGCCCTAGGCTGGGGTACCGCGTTATAAAAGACCACTAATTATTATTATTATAACTATATTACGTCTCTCAAGTGTCTAGGAAAATTAGCAAAAGTCTCTTCCGGCTAAATGAGAACCCTCCAAAAAATAAATTCTAGAAATGGCGTTCCCGGACAGCATTCTTTAGAACAAAAAGGACGTATTCAAACGAATTGCGACCTTACCCCATTCAAGGGAGGGGTAGGTACAAAAAAATTGTGGCGCCAAACATTTTAATCGCCGACGTTAATATCAAAACAAACCCAAAAAAATGGGAGAGAGGCGGTGGAACGCTTTAGCAAAAGTTGAAGTAAATACTTAGGTAACGCCCCAGGCTGCACTGTAACACATCCCATAGCAGTGTCGGTCTTGTGGCAATTCTTGGCCAAAAATTGTTGGCATCACTAGCTTTTGGTGTCGTTCTTCTTTGCATACTGGTTGTTAGTCCTTGGTTACGGATTGTTTAGCAAACGAGCCAAATCTTTCGAAAGATTAAACGCTTAGAAAACCCATAAAACGGCACGTAACTCTGGTATTTTAAATCAGGCGGAGTGCAAGGGAAATCACTGCGGGTGCTTTGAAAGGGGCGTGATAGAGCGTAGCTCATGTCTTTTATACCATTTCACAATCTCCATTTCTATAGTATAAATCTGAAAAAGTTAGTGGCACATAAAAACACATCCACACACACACACAGAATCAGACACACACACACACATAGGAGAGATGAGGAAACAAGTGGTAGCTTACAAGAATATCTTTTTGTTTTCCTGCTTCCAACTAATGACATGTTATTAAACAACATATAACAACATAATAATAATAATACCATAATAGTAATAATAATATTTTTTTTTTAAACCCAACAGTCCGTGATCTCTTGAGAAGGTAAATATACCGTATTTCCAGGTAAGTATACGTTTGATGTTTAACTCTGGTTAAATAACACACCTGCAACCCCACACACAACACCATTAAATAAACGTTGTGGGTGGATGGGTGGATACGTGGGTGGATATGTGGGTGGATATGTGGGATGGGTGGATACGTGGGTGGGTGGGTGGACGGATTGGTGGGTGGGTGGATGGATGGGTGGGTGGATTGGTGAGTGGATTGGTGGGTAGATTGGTGGGTGGATTGGTGGGTGGGTGGATGTTTGGGTGTGTGGATGGGTGGGTGGACCAGTGGTTGAATAGATGGATGGATGGGTAGATGGATGGGTGGATGGATGGATGGATGAATGAATGAATGAATGAATGAATGGATGGATGGATATCATTTCACCAGTGAAAAATATACAAATTTATGTACACGATAAACTTTCATATAAACACTACAAAATATAAGAAAACTTCTCTACTATTTTGAGCACAATTTTCACATGCAAAGATAAATAGATTTTATATAAATGTACAAATGTATATGCGGATATTTTCCACCCCCCGACTGCAGTTGGTTGAAAATGCCGCCAATCCATAAAAAAGAAGAAAAAGTGTGCCGCCCTTGGTGGACCTCCCCCCTCTACACCCCCCCCCCCACTTCCTACGCCTCTGTTGCCATACCACACACTTAAATGGACAAAGGGAGATGCGGATATTTTCCACCCCCCGACTGCAGGTGGTTGAAAAGGCCGCCAAGCCATAAAAAAGAAGAAAAAGGGGGCCGCCCTTGGGGGACCCCCCCCCTCTACCCCCCCCCCCCCACTTCCTACGCCTCTGTTGCCATACCACACACTTACATTACGCTGAACACTAGCAGCTTTCTCTCATCCTGAACGCTATCTTTGTCTACATGCGTGGTCGTCAGCCTACGACACGCGTGCCTGACTTGACACGCATGGCGATTTCCATTGGTACGCGGAAGATCACACACAAAAAATACTTTAAAAGTTTTTTTTTTAAAAACATGTTAGATCACGTGGTTCTAAGACTTCTATAGTTTGTTGGCAAGCCGAATTGATGACTTTGGAACAATATCTCCATTAGTTTGCCCTATTCCCCTACCGCTAATGGACTGCAAATGCCAATATTACTTCGCTAACAGGTCGTTTTATTACTTTTAAAAAAATATAGTAGGTTGAAACTAAAAATTAGAGACATGAGGAATTAAGAATTAAAAATGCGAATTTCTCTGGCACGATTCCTGCTGTTTCAAACATTCGACTTATCTCTCTTTCCGCTTCCCCCCCCCCCTTTTTCCATCATCTAAAATTTTAGGATTAGTTTCCTGGCAATTGTAAAAATAGGGCCAAGTAAATTGGACAAAAGAAAAGATCCAACGGTTTTTACAACATCCCAGAGCGAATCATTGTTGGCGTCCACGTTCTCCTCCTCCACCTTCTTGGCGCTCTCTTTCATTTCCTTGATCATCCTCTCCATTCTCGCCCGGCTCTCGCGTTCCTCTCGCTCCATCTCGGCGATTCTCTTCTCTAGCTTGCCCCTGGCCTCTGCCTCGTTGGCCATCATCTGCCGCTGCTTCTCTTCCCTCAGTCTCTCCATCTCGGCCTTGTGCTGGCGTGTCTTCTCTTGGAGCTCCATGGCACTCGTCGTGGTTCTGATGTGTTCTTCGACGGTGGCTCTGGTGTGTTTTGCGTTGGCGATGATGTCTTTCAAAGCGCCGGTACTCTTGTCCTGATCGATGACGCTCTTCACCAAGTTATCTGCTCTTTGCCTGAGGCCTTCGAGGGCATTCAGGCGACTCTGCGGCTCTCTCAGATCAACGTTGCTCAGCTGCTGAATGATCAGACTCCCTTCTTTCATCGTGTCCTGCTGAATGACGGGTAACTTCGATGCCACCACAATGGCGTCTCTCTTCTGCCGCGCCATTGCGAAGTGCTCATCTGTGTAGCGGTTGTAGCCATTCCCCAATTTACTAATTCCGTCGACCAATTTGAGCAGTTCGTCTATTTGTCCGTCAATTGTGTCCTCATCTTTCGTTCTGTTGTCAAAGAGTACGACCCTTTTCCCACATTCATCAACCAGACTCTTAAAAACTCCGACTTGAGCATTGCACCAGCTCATAAACGAGGCGCATTCATTTTCCCCGGGGTCGAAGTTGTCCCCGCACGTCACGACCAGAATGCAATGCTTCTTAACGAACGCCTCTCCGAAGATGGCTTTCAGAACTTCGATGGTTTGCTGGTCTTCTCGCGTGAATCGCCCGCCGAACCGCACGACCAGGAGGAACGCGTGATAGCCTTGCGGGTTGGCGGCGATGGCTTGGGACATGGCTCTGATGACCAGCTGCAACGCATCATCGTTGCTGAGGTCAGTGTCGCCGACCCCTGGACCGTCCACGACTGTTATGACTCTATCTTTGTACTGCGCAAAATATTTTTTTATCTCTTTGGTTACCGAGGTCGTGCTGGCCTGGCTTTTGAAGGCTTTGCGTTTCAGAATCGTGTTTCCGGTGGCGCTTTTCCCGTTTCCGGTTTTGCCAATAAGCAGCAGATCAACATCCCGAGACTTGCCTGGCTCCGATTTTTGCATTTTTCAGCAGTTCTGAAAACAGAAATGGAAAATAGATGTGTGAAATTTATTACTTTCGTCTTGCTAAAATGTATAGATTTAAATTGAAAAGATCTGTCTAAATCCGGTATCGGGCACCCAGGCGAGATTCACTCTAGAGTCTAGACAGCTGTCTTTATCGCGAAGATGACCAAGGCGATATTCGACTTGGGTAGCAGCCTTGACGTGCGCTGTATTTTATTTAAAGTGAGGGAGTGTTGCTCAGTTCGTCAGCCTCACTCTCTCGGCCTTGCCTAATTTGATCCAATACAAGACTTAGTCAAGACGACTGGAATATACCAGGATGCAGTGGATGACCAGCAGAGTGGTTGGCAACTGTAGCGAATTGATCACTAAAGTTTGGTGAAATTCGGTGAGCAAAAAAGCAATTTGAAAAGAAGAAATTAAACTAAGACTGCCATGCAGACATTTAATGTAGGATTTTTTTTTACACCTACAATTTAGAACCAAGAGTTTAAACTGATGAGTGATACAGCCTTGGAAACGCTCTTACTTCTAAACGGACCTCCAGTGGACCTCCAGTGGACCTTCAGTGGTCCTCCAGTGGTCCTCCAGTGGACCTCCAGTGGACCTCCAGTGGACCTCCAGTGGACCTCCAGGGCTATTTACATCTAATTTAAAAGAGGAAATTCATCGAATTTATAGCAAAGTGCGGGCCGTAGTTGCCCAACACCAAAATCATGCCCTTGTCTAAAATTTAAAAACACGTACATAAATTGATTGATTGGTGTATTAATTTATTTATTAATTGATTGATTAATTAATTTATTTATTTAGTGCTTTACCTCTTGAACAAAATGTAAATGCACTACCTGACATTTTAATTTTATTGGCATTAGTTCTTAAGCTTAAATGTGAAATGAGAAACATGAGAGTTGTATGGTGGCCATTTCCTAGCTTCGTCATTTAGAGAACAAACCGATAAGTGAAGGCCAGAGCAGTCAAGTGACTTTTGGAAAGGAAAAAAAAAAAGAGGGGGTGGGGGGCTGACACTAATCCGTTGTGCGGGCTCTAATTTTTTTCTACATTCCAANGTGCAGGCCCCACGTGACGACTCTAGTGCAGGCCCCACGTGACGACTCTAGTGCAGGCCCCACGTGACGACTCTAGTGCAGGCCCCACGTGACGACTCTAGTGCAGGCCCCACGTGACGACTCTAGTGCAGGCCCCACGTGACGACTCTAGTGCAGGCCCCACGTGACGACTCTAGTGCAGGCCCCACGTGACGACTCTAGTGCAGGCCCCACGTGACGACTCTAGTGCAGGCCCCACGTGACGACTCTAGTGCAGGCCCCACGTGACGACTCTAGTGCAGGCCCCACGCGAGGACTCTAGTGCAGGCCCCACGTGACGACTCTAGTGCAGGCCCCACGTGACGACTCTAGTGCAGGCCTTACAGCTCTTTCCAAATATGGCGTCGCACCACCAATTTAAGGGATTGTGCGCCTATCAATTATTCATTACGTCATAATAGAATTTTCTCCAGCTTATGGTTCGCCCCCACCAATAATGCTAAGCCTTACTTCTATTGGGGTGTGTGGTGATCTGACTTGTGTTTGAAATGTGAGGGGTGTATCTCGTATGAGATCTCCTCTTGACGCACTGTCTAGGGGATTAATTTAATTAAGCCAAATTACCACACAAGTCTGGTAGTCCACAGCGTTCACAATCACGTGATCACAAGTCTGGTAGGCCACATCGTTCACAATCACGTGATCACAAGTCTGGTAGGCCACAACGTTCACAATCACGTGATAGGGTCATAAAAGACAGTTTCTAATCTGCTCTTGCTATTTATTGAAGGCGGGGGGGGGGGGGGTGGGTTTNGCTTTAAAAGGTGTACGTTTTCCCAACAAATTATGACAATCTGTCTAATTTTACGGGTTCGATCTTCTACCCAGAAAGTTTACAGGGGACAGGGGGGGGGGGTGAACACAAAAACACGATTTTGTTTGAGCTGTCACGCATAGGAATCCAATAATAAGCAGAGGCGTAGCGGGGGTGTTTGGCGCCCGGGGACAAGATTCGATTGCGAGGGCAAGATCAATTTTAAAGCGCCCTCTTTTCTTTTTTTTTCAACTCTCAAACCCATTATTTTTACCAATAATATAATATCAAAGCACATTTATGCGCCCCAAACTAGCTTGCGCTCGGGGACATCTGTCCCCCCTGCACCCCCTCGCTACGCCTCTGATAATAAGGGTTAGGTTTATCCTACTGCAAGGGCAAAACTTGGGGAAAAAGGGGTGGGGGGTATTATTTCACAAGGGCGAGTATACGGTGGAAGAATTTTACAATGTCCAGCCTCAAAAAGATGGGAGGATAACGTCAAAGAGTGGACAGGACTAACACTGGGCGATGCTGTGCGTAGTGCAGAAGACAGAGACGAATGGGGGAGGATAGTTCACATGTCATCTGTGGCGCCCCAACGGTCTAAGGACTAAGGGACATGATGATGAGGATGGTGAGCCTCAAACCATCACAGGGGGGTGGGGGTTGGATCCTAAAATGAGGAAGGTGGCTTCAATTAACCAATTTAGTTTCTGAGAAAATATTCAAATAACAAACAAAGGCACTGGCTTGGTCACGCCTGTTTGTCATAGTGAACCAACAGCAGGCGAGAAATGACAACAGCAGGCGAGAAATGACGTCAGATATTAAAATTTCAACGAGAGCTTCTTCCCTGAAAGTGATGCCAGGTTATTTCGTTGAACTGTCTCACAGATTGATTTAGCCAGACTTGCCAGATGGGACTCTGTAACTCCGCTAACATGCTTTATTCAAAACGTTGCCAGGTTCCATCCCTAAACCCTTCTTTACAGACTTAAAATGACCAACATAAAAATGAATGACTCAAATGCATTTTCCCTCTTTTTTCTCCCTTTTTAAATTTTTTTTTTTTTAAAATCCGATTTCAACAATAAAACAAAAGCTTTGGCTACTCCGATAGCAGCGACTACGCTTCCGGTACTCAGCACACGATTTAATACTTGGGTCTTTGCTCTAGCCCAGTGGTTCCCAGCCTTTCAAGTGCCACGACCCTTCAATCCAGTTCTTCACGTTGTGGTGACCCCCAACCACAAAATTGTTTTAGTTGCTGCTTTATAACTGTAGAGTATATGAGTTCTCAGATGGTCTTAGGCGACCCCCTTGGAAAGCGTCGTGCTACCCCCCAAAGGGGTCGCGACCCACAGGTTGAGAACCGCTGCTCTAGCCAGTGCCAGCTTATTTTTAGCTGTAACATCTCTGTGGGCTCTAGGTGCACGGGGGACAAAGCAGAGACGTAGCGAGGGTGTTTAAAAAAAAAAAAGGGGGGGGGGGGGGAAAGATTCATTTGAACGCCCTCCCAATTCTACTCTGAAACCCATTATTTTCATCAATAAAAGACCATCAACGCACATTGGGCACCCCCTACTAGTCTGCCCCCCTTAGCAATAGCAATGACTCTGGGATGAAGTATCTGTTTTTGGTTTTCTAGAAGAAACTAATCTCCACAGATGCCATATGACTATGACATGACTGACAAGATTTCAGGGTTTTCCCTTTCCATTTTCCTTAAAATTGAAAAATAAGTCCGGGAATTTCCGATAGCACGTTTTCCTTACAAAATGTTTATTTTTACATTTCTAAATTTATTCTTCATCAGAACACATAATATTGACAAAACAATCTAAGGATAAAAATAGTCTCCTTAAAACTATATATATTATAAATTCTTACCTTTTCTTATAAAACCTCCACAATCCTTAAAGTTTGAAATACCTCTCGTATGTCATAAGTTAAGTTGAATAAGTCATGGACACATGTCTAGAAAAGATCGACCAGAGTAGACTGCTCGCAGCTTTGTTAAAACGACCAGTCTAAGATTACAGGTAGGACGGCAGGATACAATTTTTAGATGACATCCAGAAATAGAATGATGCTTGATGGAATAGCGCGCCTCAGACTTGTCAAATATTCATTTTTGTATTAAAATGTAAATCAGTCTCTCAACTGGCGTGTCTCCCATAACGAGTCTGATACCTATTGCCTAATGCCTCAAAGTGCCAGACTGTCTGTGTAACACAAAACAGACCGTCTGCCTGGTTTTCGTGGGAAACGCATAGCGGGAATTTTTTTCTTGTAGTAACAGAGAAATCCCAAGGCGCGTAATTCTTGACGTTGTTCGGGTGACTCCATACTAACATGTTTAGTTACCTTCTCCTATTTTAACCCTCGCTAAATCGGAAATTCCCCAAAGATGAGGGGGGTGGGTTAAATTACGTCATTGCATAATCAATTTCGTACGTTCTATTTAAAACTCTATATCTTTTAATAAACACCTTCCAACAAACGAAAATAAAAAAGTCTTCAACACGTCATACAAAGATTTAGAAATCCAGTCTGCCTACGTCGGCAGGTCTATGAAGCAGCGCCCATGGCTTGCTAAGGTTATGGGCGCCCGGGGCGTGCCGAGATTTTTTACACTCACCTTTGCCACAAATTTTATTTTATTTTTAAATATGTGCTTTTGGCTGAAACTGCCCCCCCCCCCAAACCCAATTATGATAAACATTTACCACCCTAGGTGAAACACACACCCCTCCTCCTTTTGGGAGTTCTTACGCCACTGATACGCTTCATCAAAAGTTTTCAAACTTTTTAACCCATAGTTACCAAGAAATTGACACCCTGTGACACAGCATTTACTCCCATTATATAAGCATTTTTAAATGGTAGTTAAAAGGGAAAATGTACAAGCAGACAGGTCGGAGATCAATTAGAGAGTAACATTTGGAAGGGGATAACAGAGCTTTGAAGATTTAATTTAAAAACAAAACAATTGAAGGTGCTACAGAAATTAATTTAATAACAAGCTGATGAACTTGGCTGAGCCTTAAAGCAGATTAGTTCAAGTAGAATGAATTAAATAATAATATCGTATTGCTTCGGTTAGCCCATGTGTAGGCTAGGCATGGGTGGTCTTAGACGCTTAGTTTCAAGATGTCAGGTTTTCGATGGCATTACAACAGGCCTGCACAACTCAAATGTAAGGCGGGGCGTAATACTTTATGAAAAACCTGTGCGGGTCAAAAGAAAATGGGACAGGACTTGTGCGGGCCAAAAGACAATATGGCCGGGGGGGGGGGGGGGGGGGGGGGGGGGGTAGCTATCAAGATAATAATAAGAATAAAGAATATTTCGTTACTTCGCGGGCCGCTAAGTGGGTGCTGGCGGGCCGCATGTGGCCCGAGCGCCGTATGCTGTGCAGGCCTGCATTACAACATTACGACATGTCACTCCATATCCTAGACTGGATAAACCTCCATCTTGATTTCATCATCATAAATTTAAAACAAATTCGTGTTTACGCTCGGGAAACTTCTTTCATTAAAGGACAAATCGTAAAATTGGCGTGGCGCTGTGGTCAACACATTCTAACGAACAAAAGGTCAAGTGGGGGTGCTCATTTTTTTCTGGATTTTCATTAGGAGGGGCCATTAGGACAATTAGCCAAACTGTAATAGGGTTTGGAGCAGGGCCGTCTTAACAACATTGGAGGCCCTGGGCACAGCAAGGTAATGGGGCCCCCAGCAACACAACACACCTGGGCCGTGAGAGGGGGGGGGGGCGAATGGGGCTATCGTCCCAAGCTCAAACAGTGGGGGGGGGGAGGGGGACAGACAGTTCTTGCTCCCCACCAACTCACCCAGAGGAATAAACATGTAAAATAAAAGTCAACAATCAATAAATGGGGCCCCCAGCAACACAACACACCTGGGCCGTGAGAGGGGGGGGGGGCGAATGGGGCTATCGTCCCAAGCTCAAACAGTTGGGGGGGGGAGGGGGACAGACAGTTCTTGCTCCCCACCAACTCACCCAGAGGAATAAACATGTAAAATAAAAGTCAACAATCAATAAAGTTCAACTTCGATGAATTCAATTTATTGATACAAATTTTAAAAATCATTCAAAATCAATAATAGTTTTAAAACATTATAAGAAATAAACTATAAATAATCATAGAGGAGGATAAATTATAATTATTGACAGATAGATAGAATAAATTGTTCAATAAAAAATCAACATAATTGTATGTGTAATTTTTTTTTTCCAGAGAATTTTTTTATTATTTGTTTAAAGTCAATGGTCTTAAGGATGTCATTTTCCATGCACATACGTGAAAGCCAGTTCAAACGTCGCTGTCCCATTGTACTGCTGGGTCGTTATGAGCTTCAACCTTGAAAATGAACGTTTCCCTTTTACAGTTGGTTATCATCATGAACATTTCCCCTTTACAGTTGGTTATCATCATGGGCATGAACGCTCTGGGGGAGCGATTTCAATATTAGGAAATACCAAATTTCAAGTTGTCTGTAGTTCCTACAAGGCAGCGATAGTGTCACACTTCTCATCAAGAACCAGGTAGTTCTTGAGATGCTTGCATTCTTTTAATAGGTCATCCGTATTAAGGTCTTTGAAATAAAAGCATTTGTTATAAAAAAAAGATGATTTTTTAAAAAACATTACGTAATTATTTTTAATAATGTATTTGTCTGCCCTTTCAAACTCAGAAGTGCCCAGCTATAAAAACGAACATTGGGAAATAATTTGTATGGTGTCATTAATCAAATCGATCTCTGTGTTTGAGCTATGTAAGATAAACATGACTTTGAGATTTTAACAGTGGCAACAAGTTATTATTATACCTAAATACCTAGATATTTCTGCCTTCAGCTCAGACATACGGTGACTGTGGGGTTCTATTTATCATCTACATTTGTTTTTTTCAGACACAGAAAACAATATAGTTTTCATTTTAGAAAATATAAATTTATTTGTTTATTAGTTTAGTAATAAATAATTTACTTTTGAAGAAGAACATATTCATTGGTGACCTACAAATCCATAACGTAATGCTAATTAACTTCAGTCGTACTTTAACTGGTACTAGAATCGACTTTTCTCCACTTATTTCACATCTGAGCAGTGGCGTCTCTAGGGATGTTACCGCCCGGGGCCAACATCTTTGTCTACTCTAACATGATTGTAAACATAAATTATTACTTTTTTTTTTTTTCGATTCATAGCTGGAAAAGGAAAACTTGTTTACGAGAGAATATTATTGGAATGTGCTGATCTCTATCGTGGGTTAAAATAGGAAATCGGAAATTTTAAATCTAATTAAAATTGTCAAAAACTTTCAATATTCGTTAACAATAAGAGTAAGTTTCCTAGAGCCCTGGGGCCCCCTACAAGCGCGGGGCCCTGGGCCACTTCCCACTGGGCCCATGCCTTAAGACGGCACTGGGTGGGAGGCACATCTTATGTCAAGGACTTTGTCAATTAAATTAGGTTCAGCTTTTTTTTTCGTTCTTTCTTTCAAATCAGGAGGGCGTCAATTAAATGTGTTTTTTACCCTTACTCTTCCCTCCTCCCATAGAACAGGCTTAAGGTTTGCCAGGTGTTCAGAGTGTTTTGAAATCGGCTTAGAACCGTCTCGGTTTTTATGAGTAAGACAACATGCCAACTTTACGGTTGGTAATAGTAATGGGGTGGGGGTCGGGTGGGAAGGGTTTTCGTAAAGACAATATCATTTTACATTTTACATCCTTTATGGTAACGTTACTTTTGTTCGTGGCTGGCAGGCTGGCAAAATCTTCGAACGATTAATTGACCCACTTCCCGTCGACCTATCGCGCTGAAACTTTGCTCACAGACTCGTTGCCGATGACAACGCATTCTTTGAATTGTTCCTCCTCACTCCAAAACCCACCCCGAATAATTGTTTCCTGGTTTTCAAGAGGAAGATGAAGAAAATATGACGTCACTGATTTCGCGAAATAAAATTCCCGATAACTGCGCTAAAAAAGGTTCTTTTTTTTTTAAATATTTTTTTTTAAACTCAAGTGCGTTTAGTCCGTAATATATTTTTTTTTCTGAAATAGTTGGTGAAATAAACTCCCCATTGATCGCTATGACATTTTTATTAAGGATTTATGTGAAAAACTGTTTTCTTTTGGGTTGTTTTATTCAAGTTAAATTACAGAGCTATAACTAAAGTTGCGAATCAACTTTGCGGTGATGACTCAAATTTTACTTCGAAAAATATTAACGAGGCTGACATATTTCAAAAGAAAAAGAAAGCATTAAAAAAAAAGAATGAAAGAGAATGGTCCGATTTATCTTCTTTATTTATAAATGTGAAACCCAAATAATGAAGAATTTAAGAAAAAACAACAAAACATGTTCATACACGCAGTTATATCATTTTTGGTTTGTTCATTCGGGAAACATCAAAGTAGAACACAACGCTTCTAGATGTCTTCAAAGAATTGTTTTGTTTTTATTTACAAGTCTCATTTAATGAAATAACAACTTAAACTGTAACACACACACACAGACAAAAACCACGATGACATAAATTATTGATGTCAATATTTCACTTTAGAAAAAAAAAGGTCTGGCTTTGATTAAACAGTACGTCGTTTCAAAAGAGGGAAGGGCAATTAATTCAGTTTTCTTAAGTTCATAAGTTGAACACATACCATAGTGTTTATCTCGGTGAATCGCTTTTTAAATTCTAAAGAAAACTTCACATTTAAACTCAGATTCTGTCTTTTATTCGAAATGGTATCTTTTCTATAAAACGCACTGGAAGTCAGTACAAAAATATTTATTTTTTTTAAATGTAAATACAGGGACAAACTAAATTTGACTGAAATTGAGAAATGAAGTGGTTGCATACAAAAAAGATTACAATCAAAATTTTTTTGCGAAACATCCGAGCTCCACAAATTGAAAATTCGTGTCATTAATTATTTCTGGCTACTTCCGCCCCCCTCCCTTTTCAGTTTCGTGACCAGGCGGATGACGATATTTATTTTTTTAAAATGTAAATACAGGGACAAACTAAATTTGACTGAAATTGAGAAATGAAGTGGTTGCATACAAAAAAGATTACAATCAAAATTTTTTTGCGAAACATCCGAGCTCCACAAATTGAAAATTCGTGTCATTAATTATTTCTGGCTACTTCCGCCCCCCTCCCTTTTCAGTTTCGTGACCAGGCGGATGACGATATTTATTTTTTTAAAATGTAAATACAGGGACAAACTAAATTTGACTGAAATTGAGAAATGAAGTGGTTGCATACAAAAAAGATTACAATCAAAATTT